TTTTAAATGCAAGTTTCATAAAAACAATGTTTCATTCTGGCACAAAATCTTGTTCCAGAACTTGTTTTACATGTTTCCTTAGAGAGCCATATCTGGGACATCAGCCAGACCAAGAGATAAAAGAACTTCCCCGACAGAGCACTAGTCTGTGTTTCACTGTGAAAACAAACAAATGCCTTCTGGCCTAAACAAAACTAGTGTTAGAATGAAAAAACATTTTCACAAACTGACATGCCTTCATTTTCACGTCATGGGGTTTAAAGGAAGCAACTTTCTTTTGTATAGTACTTCCTACTTCCTGTTGCAGAGCCAGGTCCCCTTTTACTGCTTTGCTTGTTTCTTTACATCTTAGCTAGGCTCTATTTACTACATCTGTAAAAGAAAATATATTGTTTCATTATTCCAGTAGTGTGTTTTAAGACCTTGCTTTGTTCTTGTTGAGTGAGTTTGTCTAGACATTGTTTGCATTCATTTTTGTACCTTATCTTAAAAATGTGTGTTTTTTCTGCCACTGTAGCACCATGAGCTATGTTTTTGGTATCAGATCTCTATTTTCCTTTCAGTCTATTATCTACCTGCGAACTATAAATTCCAGACTGGAGCTGCTTTAAGTAATGATGTTGGTGAATATCGCCACATGCTTGACTCCACATTATCAATGTCATTCTACCGTGTTTGTTGCAAACAAATGGTAAGTTTCTATACAGCTGTCATGCTAATTTTGAGCAAACTTTTAAAATGTTTTTAAAAGAAAAAAATTAGGGCCTTTCCAATCTACTGGTGTTAAACTTTGAGTGAATAAACTAAGCTACGCAAACCGTAATCCCTTCAGAAGTTGGGGTTGCACATGGGAGGAATAAACTGGAAGTACAGGTTGAAAACAAGCATTATTAGGACATCTGGGAAAAACTGAGAGAGGTTTTCAGGAATGTGCATTGTTAAATGTTCTGTCATTTCAACTAGCACTAGCAATGTTGCAGGCATTTTAGGCATTTCAGGAACACCTTCGCGACTTCTGTTTCCATGTCCCATTTCAAGCTTTAACTATTTTTTGGAAGAGCAAAACAAGACAAAAAAATCCACCTTAAGCTAGTATAAAGACTTTATTATAGTTATTTAACATCTGCCATTTTAATCAACATTTTCGAATGTTTTTCCTCAAAGTGTGCAGAAAAAAACCTTGATAGAAATATAATTAGGGATATTTGAATCTGATTTCAATATCAGATATCAGTCTGATATCAGGCAAAAAAGGAATATCGAAATATATCAGTCTTCACCTAAAAGCTCCAATATCGGCAGACTGATAAAAACACAAAGCTTCTGTCTAAGGTTTGTAGCCTGTTGGATTACAAAAATTGAAAAGGTTTGTGGGGACATCTCTGAACAACTGTTGATGCCAACTATCTATCCGTCTACTGGAAGTATAGCCAGTTTTGAAACAATGGTATTTTTATACTGAAGTTGAACTGACACCCTCAACTGGACTGTAAACACCTCCTCACTGAAAAGGGCACAGAAGCTCATGTACTTCCTCCGGAGGATGAGGAGAGCCCACCTGCCCCCACCCATCCTCACCACCTCCTACAAAAGCACCATAGAGAGCATTCTGACCAGCTGTCTCACTGTGTGGTGTGGAGGCTGCAGCGCCTCAGACTGGAAGAAGGTGAGAAGAGTGGTGAGAACAGCAGAGAGGATCATGGGGGCTCCTCTTCCCTCCATTAAAGACATTTCATCCCATCACTGCGTGTTCCGAGCCCTTAACATCATCAATGACCCCTCACCCCCCCACTGTGGACTGTTCTCCCTGCTGCCTTCAGGGAAGAAACTTCAAAGCATCCGATGCAGGTCCAGCAGATTCCAGAACAGTTTCTTCCCTGCTGCCATTAGACTGCTGAATGTTGTATAAATTAGGTTATAAAAGAAAAAAAAAAAGGTGGGGGCTGCAATGATAGCGTTGTCAAAGTTGGAAAGAAAGTCCAGTGGATTGTTTTTTAACTTTTTCGGAAAATCTTGGAATTTGCTCCATACCGTGCATCAGGGAAACCATGACACTGTAGGTTTATCATTGGTCCTTAAAGAACAACTAAGACAGACACCAACCGCTGCAGAATATTAAAAAAAATTCAAACTGTCTATGCATTCCTTGTCTTTACTTTTCTTCATTTATTTTGTATAAAGCAGGTGATGCATGAATAAATAGTGATATACCAACAGTGGCCATCATACTGACTCAAATTCTACCAACTTCCTCATTTCCTTGCTTCTGATACATCTTTGTTCACATTGGTTTCACCTGTCAGTGGTCATAATGTTTCGACTGATTGGTGTTTGTGGGGTGATGGATGGAAACAAAATTATGAAGCGGCTCTAGCAGCTACCCTGTCACCTGTCAGGTTAGTTTGTTGTGTTGAGATTGATTTTCAATTATTCGGAAACATAAAAACAAGAGAAAAACCTATGAAATCAAGGCCAGGCTGTGAGAAAAATCCAGCGAGGGAGTCAGTGACTCACAGCCGCCATGTAGCAATGAATCACTGGAACGAAGGCCATGCCAGGTGGCTCTCAACAGCACCGTTTCTGTATGCAGCAAACATAACATGATAAAGTAAAGCATTGCAGAGCAACTACTGCGCTATCAAAGTGTTTCATGTTTATATGCCATATGGTTAGCCAAGACGTTGCAGAAGGTGCAAGAGTTGACGCTGGGTAAACACTGGGACTTGAAAGGGAAGGTTTTCTGACAGGGAACCAGGCCTTTTACGGCATAAGGCGGTTTGAATGCAATTGCTGGTCTACTGGTTTATGATGCAAAAAAATAAATAAAACCCAACCAACGGCTGCAGAGGCCATATATTAGAGTGATTAATCAACATAAATAAATGAAATTAACTGTGGGAGGGTACACCAATAAACATTCCCAGACTAAAAACCGACATTTGACTCCTCAGTATCTTGGGAAATCCATGTATGTTTAACCTTTGACCTCTAATCATGTTCTACACTGATTCCAGGATGAGGCTTATTATGTTATCAGTCATACCTTTAGCTTGAGACCCGATAGCTTCTTTGCTCAGTGTGATTTTTCCAATAACATCATCGTGTCTGGAAAGTAGGAATAAAAATTACATAATGAAATAAAATAACAATTAATCAAAGCTGTAAGGTAAATAAAAATCACAGCCCCAATAGTCCAAAAGAAATAACAAAAACATAAGCTTGATCTACACAACCTTTGCCTGATGTTTAATCATTCAGAAGTTTATCTAAACTTGCATTTCATGATTAACCCCTGCCTGACATGAGGATACTTAAGAATGAACTATATCTAAAGCTGTTACCCAATAGTGTCTTCGTCCATTACAAGGAACGACAGTGAATGAAAGCCCATGGGGAGGTGCAACGTGTACTCTTCACCCCAGAAAGGATTGAGATTCTTCCACACTGTTGCCGTCCTGCAAAGAGAGGTTCAAAACATCTGCTGAGAATTCACACTGAAAACTTTTACATTAATGTCTGAATAATGTAACTCTAACTTCTAAAGTACTGTTCAAATATATTCACATTCCTTAAACCACGATCTTGGATGTATTTGATTGTATTGTTGAAGCAGAAGGAAAATAACATATGGCCTTCTATGTTTTACAAAAATGAAATCTGCAACCCAGCTTTCTTGGGCTGTGATTGCAGCTACAAGTCGTTTGGATCATTTGCAAATTTTCACATTTAGAGCTTAATTTATTTGCCAATTATTAAAAAAATTATATAATAATTACTAAGATTTTGAGGATTTGATGGAGAGGATCTGAGGACATCAAGTTCCAAGGCACATTTTCTCAGCTGGTTTTAGATCAAGACTTTGTCGTTTAAATCTTAGAGGAACTAAAAGTATATGTAATAATAATTTATTTATTTATTTAGCATATTATTTTTATATAATTTATACCATCAAACTGTACAATTGATAATTAAATCATATATTGTCCCATTGAAAAATGTAAAAAAACATATATATGTGTTGCTTGATTTCTTTCACACATGTGATATAAGCTATAGTGGATGGGACTTTTAATTAGTTCAGCGGCTACATAAGGTTGTCACAAAATAGGAATACTTGAAGGGAAAAGAACCATCTCACTTCTTATTGCTGCCCCAGGAACAAAAACAAATTTCTTTGTTCTCTCAGAGTATGCAACAAGCTTAAATGCAGCTAGAGCTCCAATGGAATGGTTTCGATGAGTGGTCTGCAACCTGAGCTGCAAGTTGCTCTATGTAGCTTCAAGAATGGCTCTTAATAGTGACAAATACCACTTTTAGAAGCTTTTGAGTAGTTTTTTTTATGTGTATTTGATGGAATTTAACAACAGAATCGTATTTAAAGAACAATAGAAATGTTTTTTTTATCCACTTTTTTATCATTAGCTTAGAAATTATTCTTTTATTTTTTTGTTGTTTTTTTTTACATCAAATAATATCCTATGGAAGAGAATGTATGCTTCATCTTTATTAAATATTTTATGTTTTTCTTTAGCTTAAAATACAAAACCTGTTGCTTGTTTGAAACGGCAACAGATTTCAGCTCTAAATGACCTTTACTCAGCCAGACATGGGGCAAAATGGATGTTTGGATTTTAAAGGTTGCAGACCCCCGGTTTAGATAAAAGAATATGGATATTAGATTTCCATCTCCATCTTAGTCTTATGTCTTCTTGAACCTATATAAGCTTGTCTTTCAAGATTGCTCTCTGTGCAGCTCAACTCTTACCAACTTCCTTATATATTGAAGAAAAGCATCCATGCAGTGACAGCATGATGCTGCCACCACCATGTTTCACTGGGGAGTGAGTATGTTCAGGTTAATGTACAGTGTTATTTATACACCATACAGACCATTTAGGATGTAAAGTTAAATAATATTCTCATCTGACCAGAGTAATTTTTAAACATGTTTTCAGTGTCCTCCACATAGCTTGTAGCAAACAGCACACTAGATCTCTCCTAGCTTTCTTTGAAAAAGGTCTTTGTTTAGGCCACACTTCAAAATTAGTTTTGCTGTCATCAGCTTAAACTGTAGATCTCTACAGTTTCTTCAGACTTACCCACGACCTCTTGGCTACTTCTCTGAGTAATGTTCTCTTTACTGAGCCTTTCAGTTCAGGTTAAAGGTCATGTCTTGGTATATTTGCACTCTATTTTTTCATTTATCAGATGATAGATTGAACAACGCTCTATCATGAGATTTTCAAAGTTAAGAATATTGTTTTTTTAGCCAAACCCTGACATAATAATGATCCAAGAGAAGCCAACAGCAGAAATTATGTAGAGGAAAAATACAAAAAAGGCTTTACGAGAGAACTGAAGTAACAATTTCAAGAAACACAATATCCCGTTAAAGACGAAATAACAGGTTAAAATCAGCCGCAAGCAGGAACTTGACAAAGCTGGATGGAATGATCTGACAAAGAGCACTTAAGAGTATAGACAGGAGTCTTTGCAGAATAAGAACCATGTGGGAGGTGTGTGAAGCAAAAAAATTACTGGCTGAGAGACACTGAATTATAAACACAATAAATATATAAGGATCTAGGGAAGAAAAGTTACAGATGCAGGGAAAGTCTACAAACTGAAAACAGAATAAAACATAATGAAACTAAATACTGTACAACTAGTGGGTTGCAAAAAAAAACAAAAAAAAAACAGGAACAACATAAAGCAAACAGAACACAGACCTCAATGAAAGATTGATTTTCTCTATAAAATACATTTTTTTAAAGCCTGCACACTAAAACGGCACCTGAAGATTGCAGCTCAGAACCAAATTCAAATGCATGAAAATGAAATGAAAAAATTTCCAAAAAGGGACTAAATATGGAATTCCCAAAGCGACAAAATCACAAATCAAAAGAACAAAATAACCAATTACCAGGCCAATGGAGAGTCATCTCTCTGCTGTGTTCCTTGGTCTCAATAATGCTGATTAAATTTTTTTTGTCAATTTTCCCTAATAAACCTTTGAGACCAACTACATCCATACTGAGACTAAATTAAACACGGGTCTATTTATTACTAGAGATATTCTGATGCCATGTTGGTATGAGAAATATTTTTGAAAACAGCTAAAAATGATTACCTGTCTAAAATCCCTGCTTTAAGCACACTGATAGAATCACTTCACTCCAACATTTAATCCACTTTTCCCTCACATAGAGCTCAAGTGGTCACAGCAACAGCAGCTGACTGCAAAAACTCATCAAACACAAGGTTCCAGTTTTGTTATTTATAATTTTGTTAATAAATATATAATATTCTTATGTGTAAGAATACTTAGATGTTTAGCTTAATGAGCTAAATGTCTAAGTAAACCACTGGTTACTAATAAATGGCTCAGTTGTTCTTATACCTATTGTTGCCAACTATGGTTCTGTGTTTAACCAATGCTACCTAAAAACAAGCCTTTCCTAATATTACACTGTGCAAAATAGGAATTTAAAATAATAATGATTTTTGCGTATATTTTATCACGTAAATGTTAATATAAGTAAATATTCAAATCGTGGCATTGTGTCAGAAAAAGGAAAATGTTTTGGTACACCCCAAAAATTTATTAATAAATTTGTCAAATTGTTTCCCTTCTGAAGGCAGATAAATACACTGGATTTAATAATGGGTTGTGGAGGTGAGGAGGTGAGGCATATACTGATGGCAAATGAAAGAAAAATGTCCTTTCACTGCTGCTTTGTGGTCTGTAGTAAGAATCCCAACATAATACTATGCAATTTTGAATAATTTGATATAACGTACAACATTTCTCAAGTTATGAATATTTATTGTTAAATGTTACCTGGTAATGTGGAACAGATGTATAAAAAAAATTACAATAGTTATTTATGACAGCAATACATATACATGTATCATATTTTAAGTCTAGATCAACAATATTATGTGATCTTCTTTGCATTTTTTATACTAATAATGAAAATGTATGAGTGGGAGCCCAGATATATAAACAGCTTTCAAACTAACCTCCCAAACATGATTGAGAGCGCACTGAGCCATGCATAAAGAGGTGATCTAGTATGTTCAAAGAAGGAGTTTCAGATGCTTTTTAGAGGCTGACAAATGTCTCTGTAAGACACATTGCTGCATATCTGCAGTTTGATAGACACGCATGAACGAAGGCTATATTTAATTAGACCAAAAGGTAATTTCAGGTTTCCAAGTAGAGTATATAAAAAGAAGTATATATTTTTCTTCTATCAGTCAAATATGCCCCCTGAGAGTGTGGTGGTAGGGGGGATGGTTTAAGGGGCTGGTGTTTATGACCATTACAGAGACACACAGGACAAACAGCCACAACCTTACAGACCTGAAGGTGATACAGAGAGACAGATTTTTGTGACACAAAATGGTTTTGGACTGTGGTAAAAAGCTGAATTATGTGGAGGGAAACCTGCAACGTCCTTGCAGAAAAACCACAGCTTCAGATTATAGCCCAGCACCTTCTTTCTGCTCAGTAATGGTGCTAACGATCACATCACCGTGCAGTCTACAGCATAACTATGCAGCTTATTTATTTATTTATTTTAATACAAGAGGTCATCTATCACTATGAAAGCAATCTGCTACTCTGCAAACAGTGTAATTCATGTAAACCTGTTTAATTCCACAATAATCATTCTAAAATTGTCTTAGTGCTGCCCAGTATGGGTTCGAAACTGTCTTTTGCAGCTGAATTTTCCAATACGGTAAGTTTAAACCAGGGTTCCCACAGTAGGGGTCAGTAGCCCCTCTGCGAATGGGGGAGTTACAATATGGTTTTCACAATCATTGAAATATTATGATCTTGGCGCTGATGACTAGCTGGATTACCCATTTCATTCACCTGCCTAACTACACCCATTTTTCTTCTTACCGTTCATCTGATCCACCTGTTCCTGCTTCTATTTAACTATCCCTCTAATCAGTCATCAGTACAAGATTATTTTTGAGCCAGAGTTGAGACTCTCCCAGCATTATCTTCTTCCCGTCTAATCTGTTCGCCTGACCTGTTTTTGGACTCCTGCTGGATTCTGCCTGTTTGCTGCTTGGAGCTGCTTCCTGTCACCGACCTGGATTTCCCTTCGTAACCTCTTCAGACTTCTGATCTTATGGTTCTAAATCTTGAGCACGTTGTCAACACAGGCTTTGGCTTCACCTTCTGGATTATCCTGGTTTCTTTTTCTGCTCGGATCTGATCTTCTGCTGGTTCTCAGTCATCAGAGACCACGGCATCTGGGACCCTCTGGGCGGCGCCCGTTGACAGCCAACTGGCTGGAATCAACCTTGTCCTCTGGGCACAGACTGAACTATAAAACCAGGTTAGTGACTCACGTTCAAAATCATCCTCTGTCAGATTAACGTGGTCACTAACCTGAGTTTTCCTCCTGCAGAGGTTCCTGCCTTAGATGCCCTTGCTGTTACTGCAGATCCAGTGTTTTTTAAATAAACGCTTTTGAATCATCTGACTGTCTGTCTGCCTTGAATACTTACCCCTGTTCTGAGCCTTGACAGGAAATGTGATCTCTGACATATATGGTGAGCAAAAATATATCTTGTAAAAAGCCCCATTAAATAAATGAATGCACCATGAAATAAATAGATGTAACATATTTTCATTTATTTGTCTAAAACATCATTTGAATATTAAATATACCATTAAATTGCAAAATGCACAAATGAATAATAAAATGCCCCATTAAATACTTGAACTTAAAATAAAAGAGACATTTCCCAAAATGAGGTGACTCTTAAGAGGATAAAAAATATAAAGTAAAATATATTTCTACAACATAGCTCTGTGTTTGGGGATAACTGGGCCTTGGATTTACTGCCGTATCTAGGGTAAGGTAATTTGTCCAGGGTTGGGGGTTATGCTTTCACAGATAAAGAAAATAAAAAGCATGTGTTTTAATGGCCTCAAAATTTCAGACTTAATTATTTTAGTTTGATTGTCAGGATTTCAGTTTTTAGAATTTAACTTTACTCTGATTGCGTCTATTGTTTATTGACAACAATTTCATTAACTTCAATGTTTTAAACATCTTATTGATATTTAATGCAAAGGGATCAAATATAGTAGTTTTTGATATATTATCATTGTTAATCCCCAATAAATAAACACAAAACAATACAAAGGGTTAACAGAAATGTCATCCCCTGACTCTGTCATGATGAGTGCATTAAAAGCGTTGTGTACTCATCATTTCTCAGCACAACCGATTAGACTCATCATCATCCATGAACATCACACTCAAAAGGCAACTGACAATAACACAGCAAGTGAGGAGTAAAACAGTGAGAGTGCCTGCAGTGAAACACTAAGCAGTTTTCAACACTCCAGATGGACAACTCAACTCATACTTCCTTTATTCTTTCTAAGATTTCTGCATTTTTTTTTTTTTTTTTTTTTTATGTATTCATATTTTAAGATTTTGAGAGCAATCAACCTCAGAGACATCTATGAACAGGTATAATTCTCCTCACCTCACTAGAAAGCTCTTTTCTTACAGGTGCTCCCTGCAATAATTGATGCATGTTCACCATGGTTACCTGAGGGCGTTTAAATGCCAGACCAGTATCAGGTTCTTGGTGTTGAGGGGGCCATGATGTGGGCGTTTGAGCACACCTTCCAGATGTGTAGAATACTGTATAATAATCAGAGCCTATCTCTAATAAACTGAACATCTGGACTAGGTTGCTGCTGTTTGTAACCCTCAAAGATTTAAATACTGATTGAAAAAAACATAACTCACCTGGCTACAACTTCATTGTCAACTTTAACGATGCAGTAAGGATCACTCGTCCCAGACCTAAAAATTGGAGAATAAAATATGGTAGAATAAAGACATGTTAATTTATTGAAATATAGCCTATTTCCTTCTTTTTTTATGATGATGTTGGGCTCAGTTCCTGCAGGTTTCTCACGTGGATTTAGAATTATTCAAATGAGAAACAAAAATAGAGTTAAAAATAAAGGCAGATATCAGACGCAGGTTGTTATCAGGTGGGGCTGCAACACAGAAGCGCATGCCATTCAGAAATTACTTACACGTCTTTGGCCGGGAGGTTCCTACCCTCGACAATCCGAAAATAAAGAGACGTGTTTTTGGCCATTTTCGCGACAATCATTTATTTATCCAGCGGGTGTCTGTTATGTTGCCATGCGAGCTGGTATAAATAGCCCTCTGCTTTCCTGGGAGTGAGTTTTCTCCGTTTCATGACACCTTCAGCTCGTGACGGCGCTCTGCCCACCAGCAGCGCGCGACCCAGGCGCGCATCACAGTCCAGTCAGCGGAGCGGAGCGGAGCGCGTTAAAGCCGCGAGCCCAATGCAGAGGCGTAGCCAGAACATTTTTAGAAGGGTGGCCAGGCAATAACCAACGTACACTGAGGGGTGTCCGAAAGCGCATAGGTGCCAGAACCTCAGGGTCAACCTATGCTGTTCCTACAGGGAAATTAACAACACAATATCCATATTTTCTAAATAAAGACCACCTACACTTTCCTACAGCCTTGCTAACAATTAAAGGCATATATTTAAACATCCGTGCTTTTGTAGATAAAAGGTATAGTGGAAATAATTCTTTAAGGTTTGAGTTCTGGGGCGAACATCTTTTCCATTGTCATTACCCACCTACTTTTATCAACAATCATTCTGCATATTATTGATATTTAAAAGCACTAATATCTACATAAATTGATTATTTAATAAGTTTTTATCAAAATAGTTTTTATCTATGATTTCACTGAAGACCCTAGATGACTTACAGAGACATAATTTTCTCTTTACCCCATAAAACACAAAATCTAGTTCTGAAAATTGTCAGGATTTGGTGTTGGATTGAGGACCCAAATGCAGAGGCAAGTAGGTAGAGGTGAATATAGGTGGGTTTAATGAGGTTTACAGGAACTGAGGCAGGAATCAAAAATCCAACAGAAATAACAGACGAACCAGAACCAGAGAGACATCAGGGGAAAACCAAACTCTAGGAGCCAGGGAGAGACAAGGTACGCAGACAGATGTTAGACGAGGATCCAGCAAACAGGAACTGAAGAGGGAGGCTTTTAAAGGGGACAAAGACAAAGAGAGGGCTAACGAGGGGATTGAAAACAGGTGAGGGCAGAGCAGAAAACAGAGCTAGGGAAAAGAGGACACAAGAGGGCAGCAGAGGACAACAAATGGAAAACCAAGACTGTGACAAAAATAGCATGAATTCTGTACTTATCATCTTTAATTAACCACAGAGTTTTTGTTGTCAAGTAACTGTTGATATGTGAAAATTTAAATGTCTGAATATTCCACTTGAGAGTAGTACTGCTGCCACCATCTGTATCAGAGGGAAGAAAATGGTAGGGGTGGCCATGGGATGGCCAATAATTGGCCAAGAGTGGCCATGGCCACCCCTGGCCCCCCATCTAGCTCCGCCACTGGCCCAATGTAAACACACCATCATATGGTCGCCTCTACAAACACTTGTTTTATACCAAATCATTTCGTCTCAAAAGGGTAAACACTCTAACCATCTTTCTCGTTTGGTTTTTAATTTAATGTTGATGAGGAGGGAAAAAATAAAGATAAAAAAAACAATAAATTAAACTGTAATGGCTGCATGTTTACAAAACAACAATGCTAGGTTCTTCGTCTTTTTCAATTTAAAAACTATTTAATGTCTTCTGAATAGAAATGTAGCTTTATTGAGAAAACACTTGTAGTAGTATAGATCAGAGGTCTTCAACAGGGAGTCTGTGACCACTAGGGGGTCCAAGGAGGTGCTGGATGGTTGATTAGACTTTTTTTTTTTATATATTCCCCCCTGCAATCTTTTTTCCACTAATTGAAATGTCTTTAAATACACATTAACATGAATTCAACACACTGTAGTAAGATAAATTGAGGCAGAAGATGTCTTTCAGTCATCAATGCAGATCTGTGTTTCTGATTAAAAATAACTCAAAAATCTGACAAAAGAGTGGAAATGAGAAGATATAAAAAACATTTCTTGTCATTGTTGTTCCAATAAGTTTAATAGTAAGAACAGAAACTGACTAGATTTTTTTAGTTCTTCAAAATTTCAGAGAAAGAATATCAAGATTTGAAGCATAAAATATCTAATCTTAAAAAGTTTTTTTCTTCTTTTTGGAAATAGGAATTAACAATATAACATTGTTTAAAGTTCTAAAAAAATATGTTATATTTTCAGATAGTCTTCAACATAAATGACAAATTAGTCAGAGAAAAGATGTCAAACAGGTATAGGATAGCTGTAACCTAAAATATTTTTTTATTGTATATTCCCCCCTGCAATTTTTCCACTTATTGAAATGTCTTTAAATACACATGAACATGAATTCAACACACTGTAGTAAACAGATAAAAGAAAGCAGAAGATGTCTTTCAGTCATCAATGCACACATTCAGCGACACACAGGAGCTCTTTCAAGCTGGGCACCGTTTCATTCACAACACCTGTCCCATCAACCAGGAATCAGAATCAGAAACAATTTAATAATCCCAGGGAAAAATGACTTTCGTTTCATTACTCCATCTGTAATAGAGTGACTATAGGACCAGTTTGATATAAAATAATTTTAAACAATATATATAATTAGGGGGGCCCCACTCCATCTGGCTATCAGTTTGGGTTTGGGGGTCCTTGCCCTGGAAAACATTGAAGACTCCTGTTATAGATGTTTCATTTTGTCACTCCCTTATTTTGGTATACAGCGCCATCTGTCTGTGATATGTATTAAGTACCAAAGCAGACAAAAGTATCTTTAACTGCTAAAGTGCACTGTTAGGAAGCCAGCAAAAATGAAATATAAATGGTCCCATATCTTGGAAGCTGTAGTAAGAAAATGTGACTTTTCTCCAGCTTAAATGTATAGATACTCTTTATCCTATAGTGTAATAATTTACTGTGACTACACTCACAAAAATATTTCTACCTAATTTCAAGATGTATGTACCGTAATTCACAAATTCCCTTTTACCTTTTTTCCAACATTTTAACACACACTTATTTTATAAACCTTACACGATGCAAATGTATTCATTTGATATGGTTTATCTATTTAAAATACATACAACTGTCAGGATATGTATTTAGAATAAATAAAGTAGCCTATACTTAGTCAAAATTAATAATGATTAGTTAACTTATTTCAAATATATAGAGTTTATTTGTTTGAATTGCATAATAATCAAGTTAATTCTATCCAATTCAAACAATAAATTTAAAAGAAATACAAACTATAGTATTACTTTTGAGTAAACATGTTTTATTAGTACTGAATACATAAACCTGATGATACTATTTTTTAAATACATAAGCTTTATTATACAAATAAATATGCATCATATAAGGTTTATTTAATAGGTTTGAGTTTAAATCTTCTAAAAAAAATTTAATTTGTTATGTAATAAATTTACATAAATCTTAAAATTTGAATGAAATATTTCTGTAAGTGCTCTCTTTCATCTCTTTCACATGGAAACCAACTCAGACTTTATCTAGTTTACTATTCTAGTTTATCGTTACATGTTCTAGCATAGAAAGGTTTTATAGATCAGTGCTTCTATGTTCCCTCTCTATGTCTTCTTCTGTCTCCTTGAACCCTGAGTCGACCTGTGCAGAAGGTCGTTTAACTGGGCCTGGTTCTGCTCCTGACTAGAAATTCTAAATATGCCCGAAATGAAGCGGTCAAATAGGTTAAAAAAAATAATAATAATAAATAAAAGAGAAAAAGGATCAACATTAATAGATTTGGATGATACAAGATGTGTAGGATTCACCATAAATCTTTAATTCTATACTGTCATAATACAACTATTAGTATAGACATTTTACTATAAACTCATTACCTTCTACTTTAATAAATATGGACATTACTAATAGGTAAGATCAACATTTCTTAAAAGGGACTGGAGCCATCTAATTTTCTATATTCCATTCCTTATTTTGAAAACCGATTGCCTTGATACCACTTCTATAATTTTTTTTAAATAAAACTTTTTTCCAAATATAGTGAAGCTAATTTTTCCAAATGAGATTTAAATAGATCTTGTTAATCTCCTCAACATCTCTTAGGGGCAGCTAGTGATTGGCAGGATATGTCAGCCTGGATAAAGATTCCGTTTTTAACAAACAATGTCAGTATTTTAGAAACTTTTTATTCATTGTCTTCATCAAAATTGTAATCATATCAAGAAACCTTTTACCAAATCCAAAATGTCTCATGAGTGGAAAGTACATATTTGTTTTGCAGTATTAAATGAGTTATGAAAATCTAAAAAATGAAATAATGCCAGCATTCTGTCTTAGATGGCTTTAATCATTAAGGCCCTTAACCTTTAATCTTTGTTATGGATGGAAGTCCCTGTTAAAAAACACAGATTGTGTGGAAATAATCAGTTAAGAGGAGCCAGATTTGAACATTTTTGCCAAAACTGTTGGGAGGATCTTGAAGTTTGTATTTCGAAAGTGTAATACATCTGAAGTTAAGGTTTTTCTAATACTTTCTAGGTTTTGGATTAGTTTTATAAGGCCTTGTTTAATTTAGGGTTGAAACAATGAATTGGATTAATAGTGATTAATTGTAATTGAAATAGTGGTCAACTAATTACGCAATCAATTAATCGTTAACTCGAGTTTAGAGACTCTAAAACATGCCTTTAGCTGACAAAATAAATCCACCTTGAGCAGCAATTATACCAAAGTTGTAAAAAAAGATATGCAAACATTTTGCATTTAAGATAAAAATCTTTTTCTTCTGTCAATACGCTCTATCCAGAACTCCCCAAGTGGAAAAGATTTATTTTCACCTGGTTTCATTTTGCAAAAAGAATGTTCTTTAAAGAACATTTTGCTATCCAATCATTATTTGAAAAAATAATCCGCAGATTAATCGATTTGCAAAATAATCGTTAGTTGCAGCCCTAGTTTCATGTTTCCTTCCTGGTAACATGTTTAGATCATAAATCCACCTGAGATATCTATAGAAGTGAGCTTTTCATACATTCAACCCAGGTGAGCTTTCACACACCTCATTTCTCACTGCAAAGTCAGTAATTCTTAACTTTTCCTCAGTTTTTTTTTCTAATCTAAAAAAAATTATAATTTTTTCCTCTATCTGTGGAGAAATGTAAAGAGGATTGTTAAATTTGAATACATCTTTTGTAAATTTAAGTCCATTGAATCCCAATCCTTTCTAGGTTTTTCTAATGTACAAAAGAAAGCCATATTTCCTCTGCTCTTCAATCCGACTGACTCTAGATCGTACATAGGTACTGTATCTTTTGCCTTATCCATGTACACCGCATCTCTCTTATAAAATATCATAAAGTATCATAAGACTACCATTGTTTCTTCTGCTTTTGTTTTTTTCTTTCAATTAAAATAAACTAGTATGGGTCAGGTTTTATTGCACATTAGGTTTATAGATCAGAAAAAAATTTGTAAAAAGCATTGATGTGGAATTAAATGTAAAAGTTTGTAAATCTGAAGTTAAGAGTGGGCAGATAGTTAAGCTTTAGGTTACGAAATGGTGAGAGAAATAGGAAAACGTGGGAATGCAAAGTTAAATATAAAAGTATCTAAAGTAAAAAGGATAGATATATAATACAATATATTAATAAATATAATATAATAAAGAAACAAGAAAATATCAATTTAAAGTTGAGTTTTTTTCATATGGGGTTAAATAGTACAGCCAAATAAAATAACGACAGGAAACATTTGTGCATATCTTTATTTATAGTTATAGGAAAAAAATGTATTACTTTACAGATTTTATAGAGATATAGTTTGTGTTTAAATACATATATTTAAGTTTTCTTATTATAACTAGAATTTTTAAAGTAATAAAGTTTATAACTTAAATCCTGATCCGTACTCCAGTCAATAGATGACGGTAATGCACCTTTAGGTTTTTTGTCAACTGGCTTTAAAAACACAGAAGAAGAATATCTCAACATTACAGACAGGCAGGTTTATAGTCCGCTACTTTGGGGTCCTTTTAGCTTGAGCAGAACACAAACGAATCCCCGGGTAAAGCTATCAGTCTGTTGTGGTGTTTAGTTTTATGGGTTTTATAGCAAGTGTTCAATTTTGGTCACGTAAGAAATTAATAATTCGTTTTAAACGTTGCTTAAATTCCCTCAGCGACGTTTCTTTAAAAAAAAAAAATTAAGACTAACTCAGTTAAATGAGGCTAACTGAATATGTAACGTTTGCTAACTGAATGTTTTGACCAACATCTGACACCGGGGGTGACACTTTCAGTGGGAGACATGGACGATTATCCCGGAGTCACCGACAGTGATCCAACAAAACTGCAGGAAAGACATTATTACCTCCTATCTGAACTGCAAACTTTAGTCAAAGACTTGCCGAGGTATGGTCACCCCTTCAGAACATCTCTTCCTCACTTCTGAGTCATTTCAACAGCTGATATAGTGTTCTTTGTTACTTTCACATATTGTTCATTCAATCACATTGGAAATGGTCATTTATAAGTAAGCACATCAGTAATTTCCATATACTTTTTTTTTATTTTGTTTATACATGTGTTACCTTTAACTTAAATTCAAACTGTTTGCATTCCTTAAAGCTGCAGCAACAACATTAAAAATACCAGTGAAATATAAACATAACTGTCTACATGCAGAAGATAATGCAATAGAAGTGTCTTATAACAAGGGAGAAAGCTGTGCAAAGTAGTAAATACAAGCTGAGATAGTAGATATATAGTCTGCAGCAATGTTTTAATTTGTTGGGCACATCCAACTAATTTTAAATTTACTCTCCCACGGCACAATTTTCCTGATCAGCATCTTTAAACATGAATTCCTATTAAAGAATTTAGATTGAGAAAGCCAGTTGGAATTGAAAACTTGTATTAAATAGTGTTGCACTGATAGCAGTATCGGGCAGGGCCTGATCCACCTTCACAAAGGTAGGCAGCAGCTTGACAAAGCCATGATGGCAATTATTTTACATCCAAGTAGTATGCAGTTCTTCATATATACACACACATCAATTTCAAACAGATGGTTTCGGACAATACTGCACAGCCAGATATAGGGGCCAAAAAATGGCATCGGCGCAACACTAGTTTTAAACACTCTTTTTTTGTGAAAGCTGCAAATCTGTTAATAACTTTTGTACTATTACCGAATCACATTTATCAATAGTAGAAAATATGACAGCTACGTTTCTTTAAAGCTCTTCATGTTTAAATTTGAATATCTGTTATCAGGTTGTTTGTTTTTCTTATTTGCTCTTTTTGTTTCCACAATCAGCTCCTTCCAGCAGCGCCTGTCCTACAACACGCTGAGCGACCTGGCGTTGGCCCTCATTGATGGGACAGTCTATGAAATTGTGCAGGGCCTTCTCGATATTCAGCATCTCACCGAAAAAAATCTATACAACCAAAGGCAGAAGCTTCACTGCGAACATCAAGGTCTGTGGCAGTCCTACCTAAAAACAGAATATCCTCGAATCTGCATATGAATCGTCTTCATGCCTGTGTGTTTATAAAGATCTGCGCTCTTCTTAAAGAAATAGTACACCCAAAACATGATTAGCCTTCATTTTCTACTCACCCCCATGCTGAACAACACT